TGAACAATCTTGAAATCGCTTGACAGAGCTGCTTTGATCATCTTGGCAATCTGATGAATATTGACAAGGCCATTGAAATGAATCAAAAAGCTGTGAATCTCACCCCAGATGGGCATGTGTCACAGTGCATTGTGACTCCTGCCTAAAAAGGCAAGGAGCTGGCTGCAAGGTGCTGCCTGCGTCCTGTGACTCATTGCCTTTGGTGGATGATGACATGAGGTGAAAGGGGCTCAAAGGGCCCTTAGCCTTATCAGATCAATGAGAGGTAAATGGCCATTGTAGGCATCATGAAATAGGTGAATGAAACTGGTGATATCCAGTTCCTCATAGGTGCTTATATACATGTATGGCAGAGTTCCTGGCACTTGTGCTACTGTGAGACCTCTGGTACCTACATGTGAACATAATGCCAGAACTGGTAATGGTTCTGGTCTTGTCATGACAACTACCTACTATTGGCCATGAGGTTTTCTAATGAGATAATTGTGTAACATGGTGCCACCTTGTCGGTGACTGAAGTGGGACCACTATTGAGTGGTCAATAAGGTGTCTACTACTTTAGTAAGGTGCCTTGGTGTCACATGGGATAGCTGAGCCTTGCGGACTTCGATGATCGTAGTTGAGCGCTAGTTAGGGGTCATGTGCTAGGGGTGCTAGTGTGGGCGCTTGTCTAGGTCACGTGACTGGACATATTCCTGGTAGATCATAAGTGGCTTCCTGTGACATCTGTGCCTTGTGTCATATCAAAGGTTTATACCTTGGCATGATGCCAAAGGTATATTGTAGTGGGAAAACTGTGACAGCATGCAGATAAACCTGCAAGGTTCAACAATCTTGAAATCACTTTACAGAGCCACTTTAATCATCTTAGCAATCTGACAGACATTGACAAGGACATTTAAGTGAATCAAAAAGCTGTGGATCTCACCTCAGATGGACATGCAGACAAATCTGCATGGTTTTACAGTCTTGAAAATGCTTTACAGAGCTGCTTTGATCGTCTTGGCAATTTGACAGATATTGACAAGGCCATTAAAGCTTATTCATCTTCTGCTTTTGCATTCACTGGCAAGGCTATTACTAAATTTGAAGCAGTTAAGCAGTGGATCTACTGTGCTCATATTATATCAGACCACTCTCAGCTTGAAGCATATCACATAATTATGAAGCTTCTTTCCAGACTTGCATGGGTTGGATTATCATTTTCAGCCCGCTATGATGCTCTCATGAATACTGCTAATATTGCAAGAGATGCAGCTGCAACATCTCTTCAACTTGGGTTCATTGACACTGCTATTGAATGGCTGGAGCACGAATATTCAATAGTGTGGGTACAGCAATCATCTCTTCATACTTCAGTGAAAGAATTTGAAGTCATAACATCCACATCTTGCAAGTCAGCTTCATAAAGTGTCAAAGCAACTTGAGATAGCCACCACTAATAATCAGCTTGTCTCTGAAACCTCAAATAAGATACAAATATCACCAAAGAAACAAGCTCAGATGCATAGGGCTCTTGCACTTGAATGGGAAGCACTACTGTTCAAGATCCAATCTTTGCCAGGATTTGAACAATTTCTGTTACCCAGAAAAGTTGATCAACTTCATCAATGTGCACAATCTGGCCCTATAGTTATTGTCAATGCCAGCAAACTAAGATGTGATGCTCTGATTCTTGCTCCAGGCTCAAATGATGCAGTTCACATTCCTCTCAGCAACCTCACATATAATGATGCATGCGACCTTGAACAGTCATTCAATGCTTTGCTTAGCAGTGACAGCTTGCAATGGATAGGTCAATGAGACTTGCAACTATGGTGCCAGTGAATGGTGCTACATTTGAAAGTATTCTTTTCAATCTATGGCTAAACATTGTTAAGCCAATACTGAATAAACTGCAATATGTGGTATGTGCTTCCTTATTTATTTTTTCTTCAAAACTGATATATTGATATATAGGCAAAGACAGCAAAAAATGACCAGTTACCTTACATTTACTGGTGTCTTACAGATTCCTTGACATTTCTTCCCATTCATGCTGCAGGGTTGTATGAAAATGTAAATGAGAATATGAAGATCTCAGGCTCACCTCAAAGAAAGTACCAGTTCTATTCACAGGAAAGGCTTTGGAATTGAATTGAATAATCTAGCCTTTCATGTCAAGTAAACAATTTTGGGGAAAGGATTGGAAAGGGGCTCATTTTGCACCTTTCCTGGGCATTAATTTGCACCAAGCTGCTCATATCAACTCGAAAAATGATATGGTGTCACAGCAGGGAAAAGTCAAAGGAAATCTGCAGTTTTTTTTACTCATTTCTCATATCCCAAATCGGTATTTTCTTTGAGGTGACTATGCCATTTCATCCTATATTCCAGCACTCAGCACACTTCTTCCTCAAATTGAAAACAGTACTCATGAAGACTTTCAATTTCTGCTTGTGAGGCAGCCAGAGTCAGATGGCTATTGTGAACTTCCAGCAGTACAAAAAGAACTTCAATCTATTCGAGCTAAGCTTGTTAGTCAACATGATATGCAAATTTCAATGGTAGAGTCAGATAGCACAGTACAGGATGTACTTCAAAAGTTAGAAAAGGTCAATTGGGTTCACTTTGCATGTCATGGCATACAAGATAAAGACAATCCAATGAACAGTGGACTGGCACTTGCAAATCAAGAACCTTTGAAGCTGTCTGACATTATTAAAGTGTCTCGCCCTCTTGAAGGACTTGCATTCTTGTCAGCATGTCAAACAGCTATGGGGCACAGAAAATTAGCAGATGAAGCAGTGCATCTTGCTGCAGGAATGTTATTTGTTGGCTATAGTGGGGTGATTGCAACAATGTGGTCTATTGGAGACAGTCAAGCAGCTGAGGTTGCTAAAGATGTCTATGATCAGTTATTTGATAATAATAGTTAGCTGGATCATAGGCAAGCTGCAAAAGCATTGCACTATGCAGTTGAAAATTTGAGACAGTCAGGTGCATCCTTTCAATCTTGGGTTCCTTTCATACATCTTGGCATTTAAGAGCAGTTTTCATGTATTTTTTAATTGATTTCAACATTAGGCTTCTTGTTATACATGATCAATCATTTTGCGTGAAGTTTGCATACAGTTCTATAGTAATTATGCCTGCTTAAACCAACAGGAGTACAATCCTCTCTTATGCTGGTTGAGACCTTTAGAAGTTCAATATGTACTGATGGTGATTTATCAGTTCAGATCCCTTTTGACATCCCACAGAGGGTGCATAGCCAATCTCATGCATGAGCATATTTTCACAATCTTTATGAGGGAAACCATATCTTCATACAGCAGAACATAGAGAAATCAAATCAGAAAATTACTCATCTTCCTTATCATTTTCTCAAGAACTATTGAAACAAAATGCTTAAGTCAAATGATAAGCAAGATGTACCTTATGGCATAACAAGAATCACCCTTTGCTCATGAGTAAAATTGATTGTGCACCCTACATCAAGCTTTTAGCTTGGCCTACATCATTGTGATCATTCAAGCTAAGGCTTTCTGAGAAATGATATTATTGTGCATGTGAAAACTTGACAGATTCTATTGAGAGTTTCAGAGATGGAACTGTGCAAGACTATCATACTGATTGTATCATCAGCTTGCTGCTAATGATTACTATACAATGCAATGTGTGCCTTCATTGTTACAGAGATCAGATGATCCTCCCCTAAGGCCATATTTCATACCCACAGAGCGGCAAATACAAACACATTAAGAGTGAAGATTGAATCCCATCATGACCGTAACAGATCGCCCTTCGTTACTCTTCAACATCCCCGTCATCTAAAACTGCAAATAGACCTCTACCCGTTTTGCATTTACATCCATCTCTGTCCATACCGAACATCTCACAGCAATCGATCTTGGCAAGCGATCGACAATCGCATTCTCAAGGGTCCTGTCAAATGTCTTCAAATCCAGCTGCAAGTCCTCTAAATGCAGCACCCCCACATGAAAAATGAAAGAAGGCGAGCGCTGCACCAGCTCGAGGAGCACCGAGTCGATGTACTCCCAGTCGAGCAAGTCAATGTCCTCGAATCGCTCGGGGAGGATTATGTCAAACGCAAGCTCGCGCAGATGCTGTGCGTCGGCAAGCGCGCGGGACAAAAGGAACAGGATCCATTGCGACACGCAGTCGGAGTTGCCCATAGTGGCTTGTAGCACGATGCCGCTGAAGCCTAGGAAGTACAACAAAGGAACCCGTAGTGCGTCCAAGCATTCCATGAGCGGCTCTGTAGCGGCAAGAATTTAAAGAACGTTATAGACAAATAATATGCCGAACTCACCGATATCTGCGTTTCTGAGCTTGAAGAATCCAAGGACTAGGCTTTCGAGAGACGAATGGGTGGCTTCAAACAGCCTGCGCAAGATAGCTAACTCAGTGGCTCCTCCGTTCCACATCAAACGTAGCTCGCTCAGCCGCAGCAGAAACGGGTACTGGAGCAGCATGGCGGTGGCTATCATGCCACTGAAAGACCAGGCGGTGCAGCAAAAATCCTCGACAATGATCAACTGCCGGTGGCCGAGGGTGAGCAGATCGGCTTGCAAGCATCTTTGCGATGCTTCCGTAAGCGATCGTTGGTGAACGTCGGTTATCTCAAATGCACGTCCAGATGTATCCTCGTGGACGAAGTCGATGGAGGTGATAGACGGGAATGCGGTCATGAGGAACAGAATGGACTCCATGTATAGATTGCTCGTGTTCTTGATGGTTAGACTCTCGAGATATGGAAAAGCATTCCGCATAGCCTCGCGGAAGGATCCTGGAATAGACATGTTTGTCCAGTCATCCAGCACGATGGACCAAACATTCTGTAGCTTCTGGAATGCCGTCTCGACCTTCTTCCAGTCTACGTCCTCAAAGGGATATTCCTGAAAAGTCAAGGAGTGAATGCAATCGAGTAGATTAGTCCGATGAGTTAGAGAAGTCGCATGCTGTTCAATGAGGTCCTGGAATTCCAAGCAGTTCTCCCTCGATTTGATGATGATACTGTCGAACAGATGCACACGAGTCGCCGGAAGCCACACGCGGCATGTGAGGCTGCAGGACTGCAGCGAAGTCTTGTCCTTCCATAAATGGTCGATGATATGCTCCCAGAGCTCTATCGGGACCCGTTCTGCCGGAGCAATCGGGATCGTCTTGGAGTGAAGCGGCATAATGACGTGAGACAACAGCCAGAGGGGAGAGGACCAGATGGCAGACGAGAATGGAGCCCGCTTTGAGGCACTTTTATATGGGACACCAGTGTGGCCAGATAGAACACGTGTACGTGGCCCAGGTTCCATCATCAACGTCTAGCGCATTGAACCTCTGTTTCCATGGAATTCGCGCCACTGCAAATGGCCCACTGATTAGAATCAGTGCCTATCGGTCCTGCGATAACGTTATTGCATGAGGAATGTTACAACCATACCGCATACCGCGTCGGCGAGTCACAGTAGGGCTATCATATTATCTTGCAACTATAGAACGCTGGACCTTGAGCTTGATCGCTGAACGTTGAACGTTGAACGTAACGGCCGGATTAGCCAGCATTTGGAGGCGAGCATGATCAGCCGTTCGAGCCCGAGCACTTGGCGGTGACTCTTGCTTTGGAATGCGAGCCTCCATCGATTCGGACATCTTGAGCGTGTAGTCACGCTAAGTGGAAAGTTCTGGCAACCTTGTCTGCCCTAAAGTGACGCAATGGCGATGTGTAGTATATCACGTCAGTCCATTTCACTGAAGTCTTCCTTGATTGTCCACCTCCAAGCATCCAAAGCTTGATGTTTCGGACTTCGGATCGCAGCTAGCAACGGTGCATGGTGCATGGAGATCTTGTCTTCACGGGCATGGGTAATGCCTTCGCCAACTGAAAGCCAAGGTAATCGGAGCCAGACAAGAAGAAAATGCTGCATGGCATTTTTCACCGGTATACATAATATTGTCTGTTTGAGTCATCGAGAGATCCGCCGCAAGTCCTGGGTTACAATTCCTCTGCGCTGGTATTTTCATCTTGATCGCCGCAGTGTATTCACAGTATATCACGTTGGTTGGAACTTTACAGTCCTACTTCCAAGCGCCCGCCACATTCGCGCGGCGTAGGTCACATGATTTCGCGAAAACCTCCTTCAGTCCTCGGTGACCGTTCTCTCCTGCAGGAACATCATGCCATGGGCCATGCCGAATGATAGCAGTTCAAAATGTATGAAGAGAATAATACATGACAGCGGCCACCACACCGATTGATCCAGATGTGGACGGTGGGAGGATCGATAAGTGCCTGCCCTAAATGATGGCACGTGCCTGCGGCCAGATTTTTTCCTGATAGACAACCTTTCGTGCACCCGTCCTCTCGTCACCTTCTCCTGTCCGCAAAACCTCTCAAAATGACCTCCGTTGGCACTCTTTGGACGCAGCCTCGTCAGGACTATGGCAAGCGTGTATGTTCTCGCTGCTGTGCCGGCTGGAATGCAATCCTGACCTGTTTGGCTGCAGATCCGCGCGATCGCGGCATACGTAGGGCTCAGTGTCGATCCTCCCGCTACCTACGTGCACATGGAGACCAACAAGTCGCCAGAATACCTCGCCAAATTCCCCCACGGCAAGATCCCCGCGTTAGAGACGAAGGACGGCTTCAAGCTGTTTGAGACTCCCGCCATTGCGCGCTACAGTGAGTGTCTAATCCTGATTCGCGGGCGAGAGCAGAGGATGAGAAGTATTAACATCAGTTATCCCTGTCTTAATTACAATGTCGAGGATTTTCCATAATTCTGATGCTCTTGCTTGACGCGCTGTTGACGCAATCTCGATTTTCTAACCAACCTTCTCTCCAGTCGCTGCTTTGGCCCCCAACTCCACCCTCATGGGCGAGAACATCAAAGAGGCCGCCCTCATTGACCAGTGGGCATCCTTTTCCGACAGCGAACTCAACGCACCCGGCCGCATCGTCTCCCAGCTGCTCCGCGGCTCGATCGCCCCTTACACCAAGCCCGTAAGCGCCACCATCGCGAAGATGACTCGCACCGACTGACCGAGCCCGTCCAGCTCCATACCATCTTCCTCGAGCGCGTGCAGCGCGCGCTCCACACTCTCGAGCAGCACCTCGCCACCCGCACCTTCCTCGTCACAGAGCGCATCACGCTCGCCGACATCGCCCTTGCCTCTGTCGTCCAGTACCAGACCCCGTTCCTCCTCGACGCGCCCCTCCGTGCGAAATATCCCAACGTCATCCGCCACTGTGAGACCATCGTCAACCAGCCATCCATGAAGGACGCATTCGGCCCGCTCGAGTTGTGCGAGAAGGCATTGCAGTACGTGCCCCCTGCGAAGGAGAAGAAGGAGCCGAAGCCTGCGGCAGCACCCGCGCCAAAGGCGGAGAAGAAGCATAAGAAGGAAGAGGAAGAGGAGGAGGATGATCTGGTGCCCAAGGAGGAGAAGGTCAAGAACCCCCTGGACGACCTTCCCAAGTCCAAACTCAATCTCGAGGACTGGAAGCGTGCGTACTCCAACAAGGACACATGCGGTGCGGGCGGCGCGCTCGAGTGGTTTTATGAGAAGTGCGTGGTTTCAGGCTGAGCTACCGGCCCGTCTGACGCCGCCTGCAGCTACGACCCCGAGGGCTTCTCCGTCTGGCGCGTGGACTTCAAGTACAACAACGAACTCACGCAGACGTTCATGTCGTCGAACCAGATCGGCGGGTTCTTCAACCGCCTCGAGGCATCGCGTAAATATCTGTTCGGGTCGATGGGCGTCCTCGGCGAGACGAACAACTCGATTATCACCGGTGCGCTCATCGCGCGTGGGCAGGACATCAAGCCTGTCGTCGACGTCGCGCCCGACTGGGAATCGTACATGTACAAGAAGCTCGACCTCAGCAACCCCGAGGACAAGGCGTTCTTCGAGGGTGCCCTCGCGTGGGATCTGGTGATCGATGGTAAGAAGTGGGTTGATGGGAAGAACGTAAGTGCAGCTGCGGTTGTCCTTATCAGTGCAGGGCTGACTTGTATAACATCTCATACAGTTCAAGTAGACGTTCTCTCCCTTTGTAATTTTGTTTCATTCCGTCTGCTAGAACATCTGTGCTGTTTCCCGTACCTCTCACTCCGGCGGATGTGTTGTGTTGTTGCAGTATCTGACACCCCGAAACGATGAAAACAGTGTATCCATATGACCATGCCTTTGGTGCCGCGTAAGACGTGGGTGAAAGCCGTATTGGTAGCCGCGGAGTAAGGTGATACAGTATGGTAGGTGCATAAATTTGGAGTCAGCTGCTCAGTCGGTCTGGCCGGCGGCGTGCATGCGGTCGCTGATCCATCGAACAGCGGCGCTTCCGCCGGCCGCGATGAGGAACGAGCCGTCGAAGAGGGCACCGAACAGCTGGTACTCAGGCAGCGTCGAGAAGAGATTGACGGTGCTGACGTCCGCAGTGGTGTCTGGGCGTGCGGGCGGTGGCGGGAAGGAGGTGCGGAGTTGGATGAGCGTGGATAGGAGATAGATGCCCTGTAGACAGGAGACGGTGAGCGAGGTGTCATAATATGTTCAGACGGGCGTACCATGAGCTGCGCGAGGATGAGCAACATGAGTGACGCCCCGAGGTTCCTGCTGGTCACACGCAGGGCCTGCACGTATATGTTCAGTTAACGACGTCTTCCGCTCTATCAGGAATAAATTTCATTTACCCTCGCGACGCCCCGCAGCACCAATCGGATGCTGCTCAGGATGATCACGCCGACAAGACCGAGACTGATCTGCCGCGAGATGACCGCGACGTCTTCGCCGCTAATGTCGACGGACGGTAGCAACGAGAAGAGATACACCAGCGCGGCGCTCATCATGTCCATGCCCGCAGAGGCGCGCTCTTCGGGGGTCGTCGCGCGTCGAGCGGGGATGATCAGGTTCACGACGGACTGTCCGAGGCATGGTCAGGCTATCAGAACCGGTTTGACCGATGCGCGCACGCACATTGATGATGCGATACACGCAGTATATCGCGAAGAGGCGGCCGCCCCAATTGAACACCTTTCCGACAAGCGTGCGCGAGAACTTCGCGTCTGCCTGACGCTGCTTGAGCGCCTCGAGGCTGCGCGACATCTCGTATTCGAGTGATTCAAGGCCGCTCAATTCTTGCATTGCGGATGAGAGTTCTTGCAGCACGCGCGCATATAGTCAGGTCGATGCATTCGTGGCTGTGAGGAGGTTGGGCATACCTGGGTCTCCGCGGAAGCTGGGCATGACGCGGTTGAACCAGCTGGTCTCTGTAGTAGGCTGTAGATTGTGCGATGAAGTAGCCCTCAATGGTTGTGTTTCGAATATTTTCGCACCTGTGCAGCCTGGAGCTTCTGTATCTCGAAGCGACGCTGCGCAAGGTCACTCTGGACACGCTCCAATCCTTGCTCCGCCGCCCGTACATCTTCATCAGTCGGCTGACTCCTGAGGCCCGGTGAGTACTTCGATCACCTTTGCGGTATGATTGTCCGTCAAACCTTTCAGGCCCATAGAACGCGGGGAAGAACGTCCACGCAGTGTTTATAGCACCGAATCCAGATAGCGCTCCAAGGATGATCGTCCCGAGTACGGTCAGACGAGATAATGTGGTCATGATGATACCGGAGGATGGCAGTGCGGCTGGCAAGGGGATGTACGATAGCAACAGCAGGAATAATCCGACAGGAATTACATTGAGTACGATCCTGAGGACAGACGGACGTTGCCTCGAGTGTGACCCTAGAAATAAGTGAGTCCCATAAGGCGCTCGGTTCAGGAGTTTCACATACCTGTCGCAGACGAGAGGTCGCTCAGCACGAGGCTGTATGAAAGAGGAATGAAGCAAAGGATTGCTGCCAATAGCAGAGACAATGAGATGTTCCAGTTCAACAAACGAGTGCTAGCCCGGGTTCCTCGTTAGTGTCCAACTTTGGCCGCAGCTCGAGCGCATGGCTGACCGATTATCAAAGACATCGATTGCTTGTGACATCAGCATGAGAAACAAGGTGCAGCTCTCGGAGAAGCATAGCGAGAACAAGCTCCTCGCGAGTGTAGAATGGAAGTGCCGCGCAGTGGGAAGGACCGGACTCCGTTTCGCGGTCGATGTAGACGGTGTTGGCAGAGCTTCTAGTTCCACGTCATCGGTGTCAGCGGCGGGAGGTGTTACTGCATGTGCGGATGAATGTGTCGACAAGTCCTGTAAGTCATGGTAGAGCGCTCGGAGCAGGTACTTGCGACATGCTAAGAATAAGATGGATCTGGTTGCATTGAGATGGTGCCAGTGTGTCAGTCAAGAGTATAGCGGACATATTGCACATATTAAGACCTAAGTGCAACGATGAGCCCTGTCTCTACCACGATCTTGGTCACAGGAGACGGCATGTCATGAGGGTGAAGTGCTTGGTGAACGAGCAATGTCGGATACGGACATGGCAGTACGTGCGTACTGAACGGGAAGGTTGTTCCCAGCACGTGATCGTAACTGTCCGCCACCGCGCCCGTTTCAGGTTGAACGGGCCACTCTCAATTGTTACATGGACGAACGCGCTTGCTTTGTTCGCCTTGAGAGTAGTCAAGTATAACGGGCGACAACATGATAGCCCCATGTCTTTGAACTCGGCTAAAATCCGCTCGGCCGGCCGATGCAAGTATATCCACCAACCATTGCAGGCCCCGACAACTCTCGACAAGACAGCGCGGACCACTGTGTCCTCAGCACACCGGTCCTACTCGCCGAAACCCGTGCGTGTGTCCTCGCGCGATAGCAGCCTCATTGCTTGTACGTGCCCTACTACTCCCGTCGCCGCTGATCAAGATTGCCTCTCAAGTGCCAATTTTGCCTCTGTACCAGATCATCGCAGCGTCCATCCAGCGCGCTCGTCATCGCGTCTCATGACGATCCCAGATCTCATCTGCGATTCCCCTGCTTCGATCGTGCGGGCAAGCGTGATGTCGGAACATGCGGCGCAGGCGCGTCGGGTACGTGTTGATGGACATGCTCCTCGCGGTGCCTTGGCTGACCGCCGCCGTGGCCCGTGGGCCAGCAAGCAAGCGCGTCCAGTCCAACGTATCTGTTATCCATCGGAAGGAACATCGCGATGCCCAGCGCGGGCAAGATAGGACCGCCATCACAGCACGCATGTGCAGATCCTGCTCGCTGCAAACACGTTCCTCCTGGCCGCCCTAACTAGCTGATTTCACATGACGTTCCTCCTTAAAGTCCATATCTCGGAATCCGCCAACGCGGTTGATCCGAATCGCGAACGCAAGTCTCCCCCGCATCGGTGCGTATCATCCAAAACCACCGAGCCCGGATGCGGGCAGCGGCATCAGCGCGCGATCGCCATGACGCACCCGGCTGCAGCCTGATCGTAAGTGCATGATGTCGGATATCGGGGCACGCTTTGACTCACCTCGGGCCCGCCTGCCAGACAACACCTGCAACTGCCTGCCATGGTGCATCAGAGGTACCTAGCGGAGACTAATCTCACCGCCTCTGGGAACAATTAGCGTGATACAGGGGCATAGATCAGCCATATCAGAGACACTGTATGCGCTAGGATATCCCGAAATGAAATACCACCGTGCACCGTGCGATGCGCTCATCCGCTAGTGAGTTGGAGATTGCACAAAAATCGACTGCACACACGGAAGGTATCGGGTATAAGCCAACGAGCGCGTCGTGGATAAATATCTATTCAGGGGCTTGAAACGCGAAGCCCTTCGCGATGTACTACTACTCGTCATACAACCTACGGACTAGATCGAGAGAGATTGCGACGGAAAGGGAGCTAAGGCATGGCACGAAGCCGAGAGGGAAGTAATACCACAGGGAAAGACGGAGACGAGTATGGCTATAGCAGTGCGTTGCAGAGGAAATGGAACTCGACGGAAGAGAGAAGATAATGGCACTCGTATACAGGGAAGGCGAACAGCGAATAGCAGATGCGATGATGCAGGACCTCTGATGATGCTCGGACCGGACAATGCAGCAGGCAGACTAATCATCTACATGGGGAAACGTCGGAGAACGCGATAGGCTGGAGACCACCGCGGAGACGAGGGACCGACCGATTATATGCGCACCGCCTCGCGTTCCCGCGAGAGAAATAAGCTACACACGATAGTTCAACGATGAGGCACAGCGTCCATGAGCGCATAGAGGAGCGGGACCAGAGCGGCGTAACTTCATCCGTACGTGATCATAGGCGCGTCGTAATAGTCGGTCTTCCACTCGCTGCTCTTCCACTCGTTTGGAAGCATTGGCGGGTGGAGCTGCAGGCCGTTCATCGATGGCGAGTCCGGCAGCAGCCTCGGCGGGTGCAGGTAGGCCGCGAACAGGTTGTCTGCGTCGTCATGCTGGAGGCTCTGGCCGTGAAGGAACATGTTCGGAGAGTTGTCCGAGGGCAGCATCGGCGGGTGAACGTAACATGGCGAGTTGGTGCTGTTGTCTGGAGGGAGCATCGGTGGGTGCCACAGCGAGCTGCTGTTGTTGCCACGCATCATGTTGTATGAGCTGTAAGGGTTGTATGCAAAGTCGAGCGACGAGCGCTGCGACTGCGAGCTCGATGACGTCGGCGACGTGTACGAGTCCGCATACGAGCCGAAAGACGTTGCCGAGGACGGGGGCTCCGATGCCGAGTCGCTGCTCATGCGGCGCCGCTTCGACACCCTCGTCTCAGTGACCGTGTTGTCCATGTCCGAGTAATCCCCGGAGAATGGGAGCGCATCCGCAGGCACACTGTACGTCTGCGCGAGATAATCCGGATGGTAAGGACCAGGGAAGGAATACGACGATCCAAAGAATGTGCTGCTGTATGAACTGTTCTGGCTAGTGGTGTTCCCAAGGGCACCCATAAGCTCGGACTGCATCGAAGTGCGGTATTCGACTTCCTCGTGGCCGTTGAACATCTGCGTCGTCGAGTCAGGTGCCAGGGTGGGAGTAGCTTCCATAGTTGGCGAAGCACGACGGCTGGCGCCTGGGCTTGCGGAAGGCGTCTCCGAAGGCCCACTGCCTACCCTGCGAGCGTCATGGCGGGCGCGCTTGCGAATCACATCGGACTTCATGGAGATAGGCCGTGCAGAACCGTGCAGCTTGTAGCTAGTGAATGGAAGGTGGTTAATCGGGCATCTTTCGGAGGCCGAGGGGAAGTGTGACTTACTATAAGCCACAGCTAGGAGAAATAGAAGCAAAGAAGGCAACGGGTGTCAGCAGGCATGCAGGGTTGATGCAAGGCGAATCGGTACTCACGCGTTGCACACGGTCTTGCCTTCGTCGTCCTTCCGCCAAAGCGGCGTGGCGGTGGTGTGACAGTTGTAGCATTGGGCTGGATCACAGCAGTGAGATTACGTTTAGATGGCAGAAGCCTATGATACTCACCAGCAACTTCTTGTGCATCTTGGCGCGGAACATTCTGAGCACGACCCTCACCATGGTTGTTCCTCATGCTCTTGGGGCGAGGGCGTTTGTGCTGAAAGAACAAAGCGTGAGAAGTGACTCAATAAGCCGTGAACGCGAGCACATACCAATTTGCAGTACAATCCACAAGCATTGCAGTTGAGCTCATCGTTCAGACCGCGACGCCAAAGAGGGGTATGAGTAGCGCCACAGTTCGAACATTCAGCCTTGACACCGCCCGGTGCTGAGTTATTTTGTTGAGCGGAGGCGCCCCCGTTGACAGGCGTGGCGCTCGGGCCCGCACTGCGAGATGAGGATTGCGTGCGCACGCTAAGCGATGGCCGCTTGCCGTTGCCGTTGGTGGTCGGCGTGCCATTGCTGTTCGGAGGGGCGAGCCGAGTGGGGGTGATGGTGCGTGGAACGACGTCCTCAGCCGGGATGGATAGTGGTGGAACATTCCGGAGCACAGCGGTGGACGTGAGGACCTCGTCGTCGTCGCTGCTCGGGGTACGGCCCGAGCTGGTGGAGGTGGGATAGGACATTTCTCGTTCGACGGACTCCATCTCGACATCGTCCTGGCCGTCATGGTTCTCGACGCGGACGTCAATCATGCTGCCAAAGGAAGAAATCCAGCTAGGGGCACCATCTGTACTGATGAGATCGTCCAGTGGCAGTTCAATTGTCGGGCGGACAATGCTGAAGCCATCTGAATTTGTTGAGGAGCCGGAGACGACGCCCTCACCGTAGGTCATGGTATTCGTGACAGTAGGAGTGGGATACAGAAGGGCAGCCGGGCCGAAGTCGTTAGAGAAGAGAGACGGGAAGCGAAGAGAAGCTGATTGGTATATGTCGTCAGAGGTCGCCGTCGCTCGAGAGTTGTTCGTCGCCACAGCCGGCCTGCGCCCGCGCTGGGTGAGGGGCTGGTCCTTGTCATTATGGTCGCCGTTTGTGTCGTCGACTTTGGCAGCGGTAGAGCGCGTTGATGGGCGGCCGCGCTTGAGGGCATTGTCCCTGAACTCGGGAGAGGGCTTGAGGTCCGGCTTCTTGACCGACACAGTGGCAGCGGTAGGCGGTGCGGGCTGGTCGACACTAAAGGTAAACTGCATACGGTGAATGGTCCCGGGCCTGCCGTTCTGATTCGCCTCGCGTTCGCGTTCCTTCTCGGCAGCGCGTTGCTGGATAAGCTCGGTAGAATGGTTGCGCTTGAAGCCCGGCGCCTGGAGCTCCTCAATACTCCTGAGGACGCTATCAGTATCCGTAGCGCCGTTGACAGTGAGTCACGTACCGTCCCTTCTCCTTGTCGAGCTTGTCGCCCATGCACTTGGACAGCTTCTTGAAGTCGCGCTTGGACTTTGCATTGTCGGTATCGACCATGAGATTCTGGAGGTGCCACAGTCTCCAACTCAAGTTCTCGAGGCGCTGGCCTTGTTCCAGGAAGCTAGCGACCTTGGTGCAGACCTGACAAGGCGTTAGGAGGTGAAGACGATATCATAGAGTGGCCATCACAGGCTTACCTTCCAGGTCATCGTCAACGAGTCCGCATCGCTAAGATTACTAAACGGAACAAAGCTCTTGTTGCCCTAATTGTGATGTATGAGAGGTGAGTCCTGAATCCCCCGCCTGTGTGGACGAGAGAAACCGACTTTAAACTTGAGATTGAGAATGGAGGGCATTGACCAGAGCGCGCAAGGTTCGGCAGGGAGAAGAGCAGGGGACGAAGAGGGACGAGGACGGTTATAGGGAAAATAGAGCCGATGGAGGGCGTCAGAATAGTCGGGCGAATACACGAAGCATAAACTGCACAGGTGGCATTATTCGCATATTTACTCCCGATTTTTCCGAATTGAGACCCCGCAATGCGAATCTGCCCGAGTGGCTACTCCGCTTGGAACCCCGCGACTTCCTTGTATGCGCGTCTAATCCACCTGTATTGATGAGGGGCGCGTTCACAATTGAGTAAGGAGACCAATACAAAAACAGTGTAATGCCTGCTACGCCATCTTCTACCATCATAAGCTCCGTTCCGACCAGCCCGTAGGCGACGGTCTGCCGTGTGCCCCCTACACCCACACGTGTCGCCAGCAATCATTCTGCACTGGGGTGGGCGCGGCATGCGGTTTTCAAAAGTACCATCCCATGCTATATTCGTCCCCAAGGCACCGTTCCGCCGACGTCGTCCCGGGCTCTTCTCCGCTCGCTAGCCGCAAACAGAATTCCCGTCCTTATACTTTGGCGAGCGAGTGGCCCCACCCCGTAAGCGAAGTCATCATGCGCACTTCCGACCGCAGTTCACTGAAGTACGTTTCAGAAGTCCCCTCGTAGCGTCTTTACGTCTCTTGCTCGCCGGTAACATCACATCCGTCTTCCGAGCGCGGGCCCGCCACAAGAAACGCCCAGCGGTGATTGTTGGCCCTGCTGCCTACCTTCTCAGAACATGGCACTTGACGCAGTCTTACCTCGTCAGGAGGACTTCTGCAGCCGCCAACATCGAGCCGATAGTCGCGTCCTTCGCCATGGCAAACCGTGGCGCTGGGCTTATGGGTAGCAACGCGCTAATCACGGGATCAAGGGACCGCAAGTTCGAGGCAGATTGGTACCCCCGAGACCTTCCAAACATGGCAAGAATCGAATACCATACCCTCTGCCCTACACTTGTCGCAACCTCCAAATTGATTCCTCGGCACCAAGCGCAGCCGCAGGCTGCAGCCGAATATCCAGCCAGAAACACTGGAATTGCCAAGGGCGAGCGAAGAACAGACCGCCCCCCTCCAATGCCGACACGGAGACCCGGTACTGAACGACACTCTTGCCGCTCCACAAAAGTGCTGAAATGTGTCGAGGTCCTCGCTCAGAGCCGGAACACGGCACGCTATGAAACAGGCAGTCTAACAGAGCTGATGCTTCGGGAGGAATCCCAGACTCACCGGGAATAGCATCAGAAAAAAAGACGCTCGTTGACAGAAGCAGCACAAGGCATAGGCTGAGCAGCATGAAAGCCAGCGTCGGAGCATCCATAATGCGTCACCGCGAAGCATATTAAATAGCGGCAAATGACAGCAAGTAAGATACTACGTCCGCCTCCCTAACCCTTCGACGATGCTGGTGGCCAGTACCAAGATCCGATAAGCAAGGAGCATACCATCGATCCCGGGGGGAATACACGACCGTACATCACGTGGGGCGCGCCTCTGCAACATGGGAACCGGGAAATGGGATGTCGGACTGTCGGAGACAAGCGAATAAGAATATCAAGAATTCGAATCAAGTGCACGCACAATTGGAGATACTCCAGGAACGAGGCAGATCAAGACCACATTGGCGTGCTAGTACCAAGTGGGATGCATCAGAGCTTGTAGCGCACGCCCACTCCCTCGGGACACCACATTACATGTGTTGCAGCGTCGCGGCCGTCAACATGCGTATCAGTGCACCGTTCACTGCTGACGTCGAGATGTTGCTCTGTACGGAATAATGGGTCTTCTTGGATCGTCCGCTGCGGGCGAGCCTGCCTCGTTCCTCGTCACCTGCAAGAACATTCGCGGTACGTCCGCCGGGATTCGTGAATTTGAAAACAGAAGGGCCCACTAGCACGCCCCTTCCGAGGGAGGAAAGAATGCAGCCGTAACCTTCATAGCGGAGATAGCTGAAATGTGAGAGGTCGACGGCAGCGAGGATATGCTTCCGGAATACAGGGACAGATCATCCGACACAGAGTTCCAACACACGCTGCCTTCGACGTAGCCAGGAGAGGCAGTCATACTGAAATACCGCGCTCCTAGGATCGCTGACGGCATCAAGTGACCGAGTTGGCGTCCCAGGCGATACAGAGAAGACCTGCCAGGGGCGTCGACCGAATCAGCTGGAGATTAGGCGAAGACGAGCTGTGAGATCCGTGAGGCGATGGTACACGTTCAGGTAATTGACACAGCCGCTTAAGCGAGATAAGCCTGAATTTGTCACATTGAATGATGCATAAGCTACGTCGCAGATACACCGATGATAGTCAGGATGCCGGGGAGACATGGTGCATGCACACTCAATGGTCAGAAGGGGGACTGGCGTAACCACCTGTGTCTGACACTCCCGCGGATGGAGCTCTTGTCGTTGTGCGGCCACCCCCAGAAGCACCCTCGGCGCCTGCAGAACGCGAAGCAGCGTCACAAGCCCAGGCGATCACTGGTGCTCCGCAGCTCCGCGCTGATGAACCCCGATCCAGCGTTCACCACAGCATGGTGGCTAAAGCTCCGAGTTGAATTGCGCTCGGGACTCCGGCCCTGTAGAGACGCAGGCGAGCCCAGCAAGAACAGGAGCGCGCCCTTCGGCAGCTTGCCCGCGCCGCGGAACAGAAGCGACGCAAGGTCATGCGGTTGGAAGCGGAAGTGGGAAGGAGTTCATTGAGCGTGCGACGTGCGAACGCGCACAAGGACGAGCGTAAGGATGTGACGCGTGCGCCGCCGTAATTGGGGGCGAAATGAAATACAGGCGGCGTTCATTATGTGGTCTTATCGCTTGAAGGGCCTAGCGATGATCACGGTCATGGCTGGGTAACCCCCGACGAAGCCGGGCCTCGCTTGTACTGGCTTGAATGACACATCCACGACACATGCACAATTAATGGCTCCATGAAAGGAGAGGATAGATACCGGTGAACATGACCTGCGTTGATCAGGGTCGCGCGAATCGCCGATGCATTCTGATGTGCAGCGGTCAAGTCATCGTCGTTAGCATGCGACGTGAAGTTGCGAGAGTGACTGTCGTTCGGTGCATCGTGGCGACCCTATGAAGCATCTGTGGCCCCATTATGGGCCACACTGCAGGCCCGAAAGGTCCAGGACTCGAGATGGAGTGCGCCGATCGTGACAGAGTTATGCTTCGTCAAAAACACGAAGTCTGCGCGTGCCTTCGCATGCGGAAGATCAGCAAGCGAGTTTCCTGGACAGAGAAAAGAGTGCACACCGTTGCACCGTTTCTCAGAACCTAAGCTCGCAGTAGGAGGATTTCCCCCTTGCCGAGTGATTCCACGGAAGGGAGCAAGCTAGGCCAAAAAATCCGCTGGCGGATGTATGCTTGAGAGTTGGGCAAAGGCAAAAGCACTCGGCAGTCCCTCCAGCAGCTACTAGGTGTGTGACACGTGACCGTGTCTGAGGTTTGACGGTGTCATAGACGCTGAAACCGAACTTCATCTCATCCCAAATCCCGATCCTCAGGCGATCCTTTGCTGGCACTGTCAATTAGTCTATTCAACGGAAAAGAGATTGTTATCTCCATGCATTTTGTGTTCGACTGCGCTCTCTTAGAAGAGGAAGCTGGCATTACTCTGACCAGGCTGAATTGTCTGTGCTCCTGCGATTTCTAAAAGTCCACCTCAACTGTCCTGTTTAACGTTTCTGATTTGAGTGAGGTGACTCATTCTGTTGCTTAGTACTTTCAGACGTGAAGCTTATTTCTCCTGTATTAGCTGCCGGTTTATCAGTGAATGCAATCTTTCGAAATATCACATTGAAAACACGTTGTCGCCTCAACAATGGATGTCCTGGGCCAACTGCTATTAAAATCGGCATAATCTGTGATTTCAATGGAGAGCGCTATTTAAGTGAGCAAGTTGACATGACTATCGCAGTTATTAATGATGGTGGTTACGTCGGTGTGTCCTTCATTCTCTGTAATACCCCATCACACAGGTCAGGGCTCTATGCGGAAATCTCAGTCGACTTGAGTTGTATGAAGGCAGATTTACCGGCCGACCATGTTCGACCTTTAGGGCTATCTTGTATGATTCTGCTCTATTCGCGCGTATGGAAGCCCTGTATAGCTCGCCTAAGTCCCATCTGGTCTTAACGGCCTCGACTGACTCCAAATGAACGCATTTTAATTATCGCTTCATCGCTATGCTAGAACTCTATGATCATATTGACATCCGGCAGTAACGCGAACAGCCCTCCTGCAAGTCCCAGGCAGGCTCCTCCTGCAATCCTGTACTAGGCTCCCTCCGGAAGCCCAAGGCAGGCTACGTCCTCTACACTTCTCTCCACAGCTCACGAATCACTAGCACGAATATAGACTAGGTCAACGATCCCCGTTTAGGACCAAAACCGGACACCTTCAATGACTACTAAACGGTGCCCCGTACCTCACCTTTCAAATGCATCCGATTCCGGGGTGGCTACGCGATCACGTTACCACTGAAACGAGGCGCCGCTTGTGCTTTGTCGCAATAAAGTACTGGAGTAACTCTGATGGCTGATTATGACTGCCCGCTTACATTGCGCTTTGCACGCGGACAAGTCTACAGGCTCCAACGTCCTTCGAATCCTCGACGATCTCTGCGTAAGTATGCCAGAGTGGAGTGCACTGTGAAATAAGTACCGCCCGACGACGTAATGCTTTATAACAGCAACACCCCGCTCGTTTTGTTCCACCGCACCCTCGGCTTCTGTGCGTTCGGCATGTACATGTGCGCCACCGCGCCGAACGGAGCATGCACTGCATGAACATTTGGCAGGATGATACTCGCATTCTCCGACTTCCCACTTATCGTTCCGTGATCATGAAGACGGTAATGATTGACATGTTGGGCGAAATGGCTAACTCTCCCCCTTTTTCAGGACTCAGGAGTCTAATCGACATCGGTTGAGAGGTGCATCCTGCCGTTAGACCGTCCGGTTCTTCAAGCGCCCTCCCCCATTTTCGGCGTCTAACGCCGCTTACAGGGTGGATATGCAGTCTGCCATTGAGTCCTGTACACATCGCCACAGCATCCAGTGCACCAGTATCGTCATACTCTTCCTACAGCCTCATTGTCTCGCACAAGTCTTTCTGTGCTATAAAACCGCAGGAGATGGAATATATGCTTTCTGCACCTAGTGCCGCGGGCCGAAGAATCCGGGATAGGGTGGAGTAGTTTGGACTTCTGGGCGATGCAGCTCCGTCGGATAATTTTCTGGTCACAAGGCCTTCCGAACTAGGCATTTCATCTTTCCGACTTCATTGCCGCTCTGTCGTGATATTTAACGGGCGAGTTCGCATCGAGCCATGTCGTCGCTACCCGTTGCACCTTGTACGACTCTGCAAGATGAAACTTTTCGCCGCCGCCCGTGGCAGGCGATTGTACTACTCCATCAACTTTGTGGCAGGCCTTGCCATCTTCTTGTCAGTAGCTCTCCTAGTTGACAGGTGGACATGGGCGCATCTGATCATATACTGTCATACGATAGCTTTGGTTATGATCAAGGCATGATGAGTGGTACGTACTATTCTATTCAGTCCCACGGGCCCGTGATATCAATGTCAGATAGGCGTCAACAACTCGCCTGATTACGTCCGTATCATGAAACTGGGCTATTCCACGTATGTTCGTCTCTGCTGCTTGATGATGGTGTGCTCAGTGAGCCAACGCAGATATGAGGGTCCCTCGGAAGGCTATGTTGCTAAGATCACCGAGCCTACCAGACAAGGCGGGATCGTCAGTATCTACTATTTTGGTACGCTGCTAGGCTGCCTCATGGGAGGCGTCCTCGGTGACAGGTCAGTGCCCAAGGGTCTCAGGTTGTGCTTCGTACTTTTCAGGCGATACTGATCCCCATATGAAAGGATCGGCCGTGTGCAAACCATGCTGGTGGTGAGAAAATATCATGCCCAGACTTCATTTACGGTGACAGTGAGCGTGGATGACAGGGAAGTATATGGGTTCTCGTCGGCGCGAGTCTCCAGTGTTCGGCCCAGAATATCGCATGGTAGGTTTCTAGTTACACGATTAGAAGCGCATATTGACCGGTCTATTCAGGATGCTGTGCGCCCGCGTGATCAATGGCATCGGAACAGGATTCCTCAATGCGATCGTTCCCGTATGGAGTGCTGAAGTGGCATCCCACACGTCGAGAGGTGCATTCATTGCTAGCGAGTTCACTCTGAACATATTCGGTGTGGTTGTCGCGTACTGGCTAGAATTTGGCATGGGCTTCATTGGAGATGGCAATACCTCAGTGCGGTGGAGGGTCAGTCTGCGGCGCTGGGCGATCAGCAAGGAAACCAAAACTCATGAACTTTCTAGTTCCCGATTGCCTTCCAGATCCTGCCAGTTCTCGCATTTATGGTAGGCGATCATAATCAACCTATCACACGATCACTAAGCAGCTACGTCCAATGCACAGATGTGCATCCCCAGTATGCCAGGTTAGTCTCCCGGTATGTCCTGAGCTTGTACCGCTCATAGACGATTTGCTACAGAGAGTCCTCGATGGCTCATGAAAATGGGACGAGATGAAGAAGCACGCCATATTCTGGGCCGGTTACGCTCTGATACCGGTAACATTGAGGACGCGCGCGTGATTGCGGAATACGAGGAAATCGTTGTCGCGGTCCAACTGGAGAAAGAGCATGCGGCCGGCAATACCTACTTCGCGATGTTCTTTGGTCTCCACGACAGCGACTTGCATGTCGCGCGGAGAGTGCAGCTCTCCATTTGGTTGCAGATCATACAAGAGTACATGGATTGCGACGTGCCCAGAAAGAGTATTGTGCTGACTTGTTTTATAGATGGGCGGGCATTGCGGCGATTACCGTATATGCCTCGACTATCTTCGCTGAAGCAGGCTATTCGTCCCGCAAAGCTCAGTGGCTGTCTGGGCTCAACGACGTGAGTACTCAGGGCTCCGATATCTGCTAGCGGCTGACATTATCTCAGATTACGTACATGCTGAGCACCCTGTTGGCCGTCATCACTATCGACAGGCTCGGCAGGCGTGTGGGTCTGTGGTGGGGCGCCGTCGGCCAGGGCATCTCGCTTATTCTCGCGGGTGCATTCACCAGGCTCCTGAAAGACAATCCGGACAAAGCTAGCCAATACGGTGGCGCTGCTGCTTTTTTCGTCTTCATGTACACAGCTGTCTTCGGCGCGACCTGGTTGACGATTCCGTGGGTCTATCCTACTGAGACCTTCCCGCTCTATGTCCGAGCGAAGGGTAACGCATGGGGCGTTGTCGGATGGTCGATCGGTTAGTCTCATGCTTCGCATTCTATCTCATTCGACTTGTTGACGTTGATGTAATCCTTAGGTAACGGCTGGCTGACACTGTTAAATCCGGTGATGTTCAGTGCCATCGGAGAGAACACGCTTCATATTTTTGGCGCAGTCAACTTCCTCACCATTCCGATGGTGTGGGCATTCTATCCTGAGACGGCGAACCGCACGTTGGAGGAGATGGACCACCTATTCATGTCAAAGAGTCCGTTCGTCTGGGCTGAGGAGGCATACTTCAGGAAGTGGAAGCAAGGCGAGATCGAGGCCGCGAGCAGGGCGCCCGACGTACGCGAGACGGACGATGTTGATCTGAAGATTGACGAGATACAGAAGCTGGAGAAGATGGTCAGCTCGTAAAGCAGTGGTGCACGAGCATCATGGTGTATCAGATTTACTGGTGTACCCCGAGCGGCGGGAGTCATCTCTGGCTCGCGAGAGGCTCTATATTATGGCTGTCACGACTTATGAGAACTCATGTGTAATTAATTTCAAAACACTTGATAGCTTGGTGGACGAGACCTGAATTGAGCGGAACATCGTGATCTTCTGTTCATGATAGATCTATCAGGGTATCTGCATCTCTGTTAAAGGCACACTACAAGGTGGCACCTCTTGGGCAGCCTGCTGCAATAGGATAAGCATTAATGCAGTATGATAGATCTCGACGGCCTCAAAATAAGTAGGGAGTCATTGGCAAAATCCGCGGTCACCAACGACTCAACACCCGTCGGAGGACTAATAGCACTCCAGAAGACAATTTTCTCCTCAATATAGCAAATCATTTTATCCAGAAAGCGCGGAAAGCCACAAGAAGGCGCAGAGTTCGGATGTAGAGGCTGAGGAGATGAGAGTAATCAACGAACGGTTGCATCCCTGTGAAGGTTCCGAGTCTCATTCGATGTGCTGCCCTCAAATAATGAACGATGATTTATTCCAACTGACAACCCACCACAGCGCACAATGGTACATTGCGAGAACGCAAGACTGATCATGTCTTCCACGGACTACTGTTCACCAGAAGGTGGTCATAATTGGCAGCCTTCATTCATCAGGCAACGGGTTCATTTGCCCAAACTCACTTATCCGATCCTCTTGACTTCGATTTCTCCGTCACCATTTCCGCTTTCTTCTCGGGTTTCAACGGTACGGGTCGACCAGGGTTTCCAATAGTCTTGATGATATAGGGTTGATAGCCGATTCCATGGCGCACGCAGCCTTTGTAAAGTGCCCATGCGTGGAAATCGTGTGCGCGAAAAGCAGACCAAACTGAGTCTTGATATCCTTGGTAATCACTGGATAACTCTGATTATCGTTCCCCCGAACGTTCAGACAGTATCGTTTTTCCTCCGCGGAGTCCTGAAGATACCCTATCCAGCTGCTGTATTTCCCCTCGGAAGATTTCTTAGGGATCCCAAATTGGATATCAGTGCGAGACCCGCCAGAGTATGTGCTATCGGCAGTAAAGTCCATGAAAAGTGCGATGTAGCTGGCGGGTTTATATCGCACAGGCTGGCCTGATTCGTCAGTGGTCTCGATCACAGGGCCTGCCAGCCCAGCGGCTGGCTCCAGTGCAGACGCTTCCATTCGCGCCTTCGTGTGAATGACGATGTATCCGAGAAACCTCTTGACGAAAGGCTGGGTGAGGTCTCCGCGGTATGTGACGACCAGCGAATCGAATACCGACTGACCATGGGTGCACTGTACGGCGACACCTCGGCACCACAGCTCAAAAAGCCACTCGGGAGTGATGATGCTGATTTCTTCATCGATATCGGTTTGAGTCCAGTGAGTAAAGTTCATCCAGACATTCCCTACGTCAGAAAGAAGATCCTGGACCTGATCAGCCTTGTCCTGATCCTTGACGCCGAGGTCGTCGCCAAGCAAGGTTGTAAGGAAGTCTGACAGTTTCAAAGGGCGCACACCGTGTCGAGCAGGTTCTGAGCAATCGACGAACGATCCTCCGTTCCGAAGTGTCACCTTGTCGCGCGTGAGGATGAATAAGAGCCTGGTACATAAGTCACCTTGTCGCCCTCAATCAGTCACGATCCCGTCGATGATGAGTCGTCGCACCAGCGTCTCCATCGCTTTCGCGTAGTTTCACCAGTTTCCATTCAAGATATCTGCCGCAGCGACGGCAAGCATCGGTTCCGAAGGCACGTTGGTCACGATGAATCCATCCGAAACATCGGTGAGGAGGCGCATGTGACTGTGTATGGCATGTACAGCGATTTGGCTCGATTGCTTCCTATCACTCAGTTCTAGCACGATACGGTTTGCGAAGATGGCGAACACATGATCGAGGTTTTCCGGATCGAATTCGTCGTGATATATGAGTTTCTTTCTTGCAGCACGCACAACATCTGGAGAGTCACCAAGGGTATGCCAATACTGCATACCGGCTTGGTGAGCGACATTTTACGAAGATCAAAAGAAGCGCTACTTACAGGCCGGCTGAACATTGCAAGAAAGCGGATCAGAAGAGCTTGCTCCGCGCTTTTGAGCTCAACATCTCGACGCATTTGGTCGAAATTGACGTAACACCACACAGGCAAGGGTTTAAGTGCACCCGCTAAGCGATATGATGACGCGTCAGGCCCAGAAGGAGCAAGCTCATATAAGGATGAGTTCGTGTCCAAGAGCATATACCAAAATTCGATACCATGCGGAAAAGCAAATTGGTCTGCAGCCTTGATGATCCGGTGAAGAACGATGAGCGACATCTCTCACTGAGGACCTTTCGGACTGACAAGTAGGCCGGGATCGTTCAGTTCTGTACACTCATCAAGACTCCGAAGGAATCTTGTATGCCCTAAATGTTGCACTGATCCCGCTGATGCGCGGCGACAGCGGCTAACTGACAGAAGCACGAGAATGACCCCAATTTTGGCAAAGTTAGGCTGGCAAGGCGACGAGCCGGTCCGTGCTATTGCCACCATGGGAGTCATTCACCACGAGGCAGCGGAAATGAAGCGTCGTGGGAAGGCTCGGCCATCCTGAAGCTACGCCGATGCTTCTGAACGCAAGAAGGCTCGGTGGACTTAGCGGTAGCAATGGCATCAGGCAGTAGGCACCCAGAAGATCGGGGCAAGGGACCGCCATCATGGCAAAGATGCGCGAAGACTGCCCAGCCAAGTCAGCATGGGTGAAACGTGTTTTGATACGTGTGAACGGTCTGGTCCGGTATCTCAAACAGGAACACAATTATGTTGCAAGTTTCAGCTAATATCTTACTCGTTTCAGTCTTTCTTTTACCATACCTAGTTTAATCACCCAAGCAGGCAAACTCTCAGCAGTGGCCTGCTAGGGTGGTATATAAGCCTACCACATGTACATACCAAAACAATCGAATTGGGAGGAGCTCGAGTCTCCTAGCCCACAGCCTACGTCTCAGCACTTCGTCTCTCGGCCAGCAGCTCTTTTCTATTGCCTTAGCTACGGTCACTAGGCACATTCTCGCAGTTTCAGCTAAGTCCCAGCACCAATCACAGTGCACTTCATCATCATTATGTCATCAGGCCCAGCCCACCTAGCAACCAAAGATATTCCATCACACTCTCACGCTATGTCACTCAGTTACCCCTTTCAGCCCTACGTTCCCAGGACTCCTCAGAACCTGTCTGAGGCCTCGCTCCCATTGGTTTAGCCACCGGCGCTCTGACGTCCTTCGATCAGAAATGCATATACGATCAGGTCCGACCCGCCTTCTTGCGACAATATCACATTTGCGATCAGCTCCGGGCCATTTCTAGCCTTAGACCACGGGTTTCATCCCAAATATAGTAGTTGGCCCAAGGATCTTCGCACATCAGACTTAACCGAGCTTCCCCGCCATCCTCCGATCAGCATTCCATATACGATCAGCTCCGCTCTGCCTCGCTGCGATCAAAACACATTTGTGATCAAATTCGATGGTCCCACGCTTGGAGCCCCTTTCAAATACAGCCTTTCATTCCCACACAACCCTAGTTCCTTTCCCAAGGCTCGATATTGGCTGCCCACACCGTCATTTGCTGATCCTGCGATTGTTGGCTGCACCTGCACACTACCCCAGTCCATTACCAATCCATTACCCATCCCTATTGTCAGTAGCTTCAAGTCACTAAACCGGCTCGCAGCAAACCCTCGCCAAAGTCGTCCCCCGCATACACCCCACACAGCGGACCCCAGATTAGTGTTGGAGTAGCACAAGGCCAGGAGCTCCGCGGATGCATCATTTCTGGAGCCCACCGCGAGGGTTTGAAGAATCGAAGGTTTAGGAATCATTGACGTTGTTGGCAAACGCTCGCAGCCATATCCGAAATGTCAGAAGAAGTTTTTACTTCCTTCAATGAGACACTCAGGAGGCTACAGGAGTATCAGAGGACAGGATTCGAGTGCACAGACAAAGGACGTGAGTATCTTGCAGATTACGATCTGAGGGAACACTTTCCAGCCACAGCGGCAAACTCTCGGACAGCCAGTCTAGCGCCGTCCAACTCCAGACCATCAAGTCCACTATCTCCAGTACCCTCGAACGTTTCTAGCATCCATCTGCCTTCATCCATTGCGTCAGGACCAAGTTTAGGTTTAGACGACTTCATCCCTGAAGGACATTCGCTTCTAGACGAGATCCAAGAGGCAGAAGCTCACATTCAAAGTTTGCCACCTACACACCATACCCAGTACACGATGGCAGCTACAATTACAACCGTCAGCCAGATGCCATTTAGAGGGGATCGCGCAGCCCCTACATTCGATCCAGAGCATCCGCGCATGCTTCTGCGATTCTTTGACAATTTGGAAATCTTATTTGCCCGTTGCAATATCACGGACGAAACAGAAAGGAAATGCTGGGTTTGCCGATACCTCACTATCGACGTAGCGGACCTCATCGAAAGCCTGGAAGAATATTCAGATGTCCAGCGCACGTTCCAAGATCTCAAAGTAGCAGTACAGCGACTGTACCCTGGTGCAGATATGGAGCGCAAGTGGGAGGTCTGAGATATGGACATGCTTGTTGGGGAGCGAGCAAGGCTAGAAATCCATAGCATTGCAGAACTTGGAGCCTACCATCATGAATTCTTGGCAATTACTACGTTCCTCATAGGCAAACATCGCGTTTTGGAGTCCGAGCGCAACTGGGCATTTGCACGAGGATTCCCACCAGACCTATAGAGCCGGATATCACAGTGACTTCAGCTAAAGCAGCCGGACCACTATCCCGATGATTCATATGATGTCAACGAGATCTACGAAGCGGCAAAGTTTGTCCTTCATGGAACTTCGCCCTCACCAGCAGTCACTGGTAGCAGCAAAGTGAAGTCAGAGTCAGGACCTGCGATTAAGACAGAGGACATCTCGCTACTCATCGAGAGCCTAGTCAAGTCCGTGCAAACATTGACAGCAGCAGTGACCGGAGTTGTGCCAAAGGGGAATGGCATACAAGCTAGCGCAGCGCCAAAGCCAACTATGAGTAGTGGAGGCAACGGCATGGGCTATTGTCACTATTGCGGTGAAGCAGGGGGCATGATAGGCACCTGCAAGCACATAGAAGAGGACATAAAGTCTGGCAAGTGTATGCGAAACTCTGCCGGAAAGGTGGTCTTGCCGAACGGATTCTTCGTCCCATGTAACATTCCGGGTATAATCATTCATGACCAAATCTACGAATGGCATAGGAGGAATCAGTCCACTGTGCAGACGCAGGCGTCGATCTCAGCTGCAAGCTTATTTGAAGTCTCCCCTGAGGAGCATAGCACCTTTGCCTTGGGGGACGACGACCGCATTCGTGCCTTAGAACAAGAGTTATACTCGTTGCGCAAGACAAAGCAAGTATTCGATGGAGTATACATGCCTCCGCGCAAATCAAATACAAACACTCGTCAATCTCCACCCACGTCAGTTAGCCAACCAGTCACGCAGACACAGCCCACCATGAGTACAGTGCCTACAGCTGCTTCGTCAACCACACCATCTACGTCGCAGCCTACAGCCACTACGCCGGAAGCAGACAAGGAGCCAGAACATCCCTACTGTGCAGCCAGGGATGCTACCTATGTGCCACCATCCATGCATAACTTTGCCTCGAATGCACCGAGACCTCAGAACAGAGACCCAGCCTATCGTACTACTGCCCTAGTCTATCAGCCACGGCTCTCAGATGACGTTTTTAAGAGATCTATGAAGAATCTTGTGATAGCTATCTCACTCGAGGAATTACTGTCAATTTCACCGGATGTTCGCAACAAATACCGAGAGGCTTGCACGCCAAGGAGAGTCAATCTGCCAAGTACAGGGACTTCTATGTCAGTGATAGGGGAAGCTGATGAAGAGATCTTCACGAACAGGACCACGGCGCAGATTGGCGAACTCTCGTGTCACGGCAAACCATTGCAGCCCCATGGTTCGATCATCCCAGATCCTTATGACATGTATCTGCGACACATACACCAGCATGGAGACCCAGAACAGCTGATGGTGGCTAAGGATTCTCATTCACTTTGTTCCATCATGGCTTTAGAAGCGATTTTAGATCTGGGGTGTCAGATAGTGGCAATGTCAGAAGATGTCTGCCATGCATTGGGGCTCATCTACGACCCAACAGTCAAGCTGAATATGCAATCAGCTAACAGAGAAGTCGACCAATCGTTGGGACTAGTGCGCAATATTCCCTTCCAAGTTGATGACATAGTGCTTTATTTGCAGATCCACGTTATCTGCGCTGCTGCCTATGATATCCTACTTGGAAAACCCTTTGATGTTCTAACCAAGAGCATGGTTAGGAACTTCTTCAACGAAGATCAGACGGTCACGATAGTTTGCCCAAACTCAGGCCAAGTCATGACTATTCCAACCATACGCCGAGGACCTCCGCGATTTCGCTGACCTAAGGACATGGACCAGTCAAATTTTCATTAGTGGAGGATATGGACGACCCAAGTGACAGTTTGGCCCTAGTCATCAAAGCAAATGCCCAGCTCCAGCCAGAAATCGTCGCATATACCCAGATCATACCCTCCGACCCTACCGCTATTCCAGTCAGATATTTGCAAGCATCCAAACAATTTGTACAAGCTCTCGATTTGCTCTATTGTCAAGATTCGCCTCGCATCTCTACGTTACAAGCCTCGCATATACAAGCTTTAATCTCGACTCTATCCCTTGATACACCCACGTCCGCCAATCACCGTGAATCAGGCAAACCTCCGTCAGCAGGCTTCGCAGCTACCAAGAAGAAGTACAAGCCCGTTGCGCTCAAGACTCGACCAGTTCTTACCACGGTACCAGAATCTTTCAGAATCATACGTTCCATCACGGGTGACCCGCTAGCCATGCTACCACAACTACCTATGCATCCACCACAGTTTACGCCCACTGGCAGATACTCGCTAGAACGCATGATGGCCCTGAACCAAGCACATTCAGGAGGATTTTTATGGTCAGACGAGTGAGCACTCTTGCATACATTTATGTGTCTTCACAACAGGGCCTTCGCATGGGATGACTCAGAGCGAGGCAGCTTTCACACTGAGTACTTTCCGCCAATTGACTTTCCAGTGGTTCCGCACAAGCCCTGGGTTCAGTGCAACATTCCGATACCCCCAGGAATTTATCAAGAAGTTTGTGCGGTGATCAGATGGAAGATAGACGCAGGAGTCTACGCGCCCTCGAACAGCTCATACAGATCATGCTGGTTCTGTGTGGTCAAGAAGGATGGCAAATCCTTGCGTTTGGTCCACAGCCTAGAACCACTTAATGCCATAACAATTCAGCATTCCGGAGTTACCCCAACCCCAGAGCACCTCGCTGAACAATTCAGAGGACGCGCATGTGGGGCAATGCTGGATTTATACGTCGGCTATGATGAATGGCTAATTGCAGAATCCTTCCGAGACCTCACAACATTCCAGATCCCCTTCAGCGCACTCCGACTCGTAACCTTGCCAATGGGCTGGACGAACTCAGTTCCAATCTTTCATGACGACGTCACGTACATTTTTCAATCAGAGATCGCAGAGTTTACTGTGCCCTACATCGATGATGTGCCAGTCAAGGGGCCAGCCTCGCAGTACAAGCAGTCAGATGAGACATTTGAGACAATCCCAGAGAACTCCAGCATACGCAGATTCATCTGGGAGCATTTTCAGAACCTCAACCGCATAGTACAATGCATGGAGTATGTGGACGGCACATTCTCGGGGACAAAGTTAGCGCTGTGCAGCCCGGAGATTATGGTTGTTGGCCACCGATGCACACCAGAAGGACGACTCCCAGATGAATCACGTGTTGCAGCAGTACGCAATTGGGGACCTTGCAAAGACCTATCAGAAGTCCGAGCATTTCTAGGCACTATTGGTGTGGCAAGGATCTTTATTAAGAACTTTGCCAAATGTGCGCATGCGCTGATCCAACTTATGCGAAAAGGTGTACCATTCGAGTTTAGCCAGGATCAACTCCAGGCCATGACAGATCTCAAAGAGGCTCTCTTGCAGTCTCCCACGTTGTGAGCAATCAACTACTCCTCGGATGCACCAGTTATTTTAGCCGTGGACACGTCCATGATAGCGGTTGGGTACCACTTGTGCCAATGCTCAGAGGAAGACCCAAAGAAGCGCTACTACAATCGCTTTGGGTCTATCACGCTTAATGCTCACGAAGGTCGATTCTCTCAACCCAAGCTTGAGCTTCATGGACTGTATCACATGCTGCGTGCCCTGAAGATGTATCTGATTGGTGTCCGAAACCTCATCATCGAAGTTGATGCCAGATACATCAAGGGAATGCTTCAAAACCCAGATCTCGCCCCCAGCGCAAGCATTAACAGGTGGATCATGTCCATTCTACTGTTCCACTTTAAGCTGGTCCACGTCTCCGGCATTAAACATGGTCCAGATGGCTTATCTTGGAGGCCAGTCCAGCCCGATGATTTGCCGCCTACTGAGGATGATGATGGCTTCGAAGACTGGATCGACCAACTTCACAGTTTTATGCACTGCGTCTTACTCAGTTCCTCTCATCCCCTCATACGCACACTTCTGACTGAGGACAGTCAGTATTTTAGTGGGGAGGAGGATATACACGGCACTTTGTGGCCAATTTTTGCGTCTTCCGCACAAGTTCAGACCAGCTCCGACCCGGCTATACCTGCCACAGATTCGAGCCCATCGGATGGCTATAGTAACATTCCATGATCTGAACGAGCCACGAAGTCAGACCTACTAGTCAAACGTGTCTACCAATGGCTGGGAGATATGCAAAGACCTGCCAGTTGGACAGACAAAGAATATGAGAAGGTCGTACGGTATGCAGTACATTTCTTTATTCAAGAACGAAAGCTATGGCAAAAGGATTCACAAGGGGTGCATAAGGTCATTGTATGGCCAGAGCAGTGAATGGCTGTCTTGCAAGCCTCGCATGATGACTTAGGGCACCGAGGAATCTTTGTGACCAAGGCTCTGGTCTGAGAACGATTTTGGTGGCCAGATATTGGAGCAGACATAGCATGGTTTGTGCGTAGCTGCCTGCTCTGCCAGCAAAGACAAGTATGGCAGATTTCGATTCCGCCAACTGTCATGAGTCCGGCGTCAGTATTTGCCAAAATTTACATCGACACAATGCACATGCCATCCAGCAACGGGTTCAAGTACATTGTACAAGGATGTTGTTCTCTTACGCACTACCCAGAATTTCGCATGCTCCGAGCAGAATCGGCTAAGGCCCTGGCAGACTGGATCTTCGAGGACATACTTTGTTGATGGGGCGCACTCTCGGAGCTCGTGACAGATAATGGTGCACCTTTCGTCAAAGCTGCAGCTCATCTATCCAAAAAGTACCACGTCAATCACATTCGGATCAGCGGTTACAACTCACGAGCCAATGGAATAGTCGAAAGGCCTCACTTTGACGTATGACAAGGCCTGTTTAAGGCTGCAGATGGCAAAGAACACCGCTGGAGCCAAGTAGCGCACTCCATATTTTGGTCCAAAAGAATTACTACAAGGCGTCGCATGGGGTGCTCGCCGTACTTTGCAGTCACAGGAACACAGCCAATCCTACCAATGGACATAGTCGAAGCCACTTACCTCCTACCACCGCCAACTTCGATGATATCTACCATGGAGCTAATCGCACGATGGGCTGAAGCCTTACAAAAGCGTCGAGAGCAAGTAGAGAAGATTCATAACGCCATCTAAGGAGCTAGAAGGGAAGCTGCATAAAAGTTCGAAAGGGACCATTCTGCAAAGATCCGCAATTTCGACTTTAGCCGCGGAGACTTGGTATTGGTCCGACACACGAAAATTGAGAAATCTCTCAATCGCAAGATGCAGTCCAGATACATTGGGCCCTATGTGGTAATTCTACACAACCGAGGTGGGGCTTACATACTAGCATAACTCGGTGGAGCGGTCTTAGACAGGCCAGTGGCAGCCTTTCGAGTAATACCATTCGTGGCGCGCAAGTGGATATCGGTACCAGAAGAAGTATTGGACGTCTCTCAGAAGTGGCTAGATGAGATGAAAGAAGCAGAAGAATCCAGGGACCTGGAAAAAGAAGAAGAAGAGCCTGGAGAAGATGGAAAAGTGAAGGAACTGGCGGAGGCAAGGGTAAGCCGCAGAAATTTAAGTCTTGGCGGGGACCGAGGACGGTCCAAGGATAGTGGGGAGGAGGTGATGTCCAGCGACAGTGGCTAACTGACAGAAGCATGAGAATGACCCCAATTTTGGCAAAGTTAGGCCAGCAAGGCGATGAGCTGGTCCGTGCTATTGCCACCGTGGGAGTCATTCACCATGAGGCAGTGGAAATGAAGTGTCGTGGGAAGGCTCGGCCATCCTGAAACTACGCCGACGCTTCTGAACGCAAGAAGGCTTGGTGGACTCAGCGGTAGCAACGGCATCAGGCAGTAGGCACCCAGAAGACCGGGGCAAGGGATCGCCATCATGGCAAAGATGCGCGAAGACTGCCCCGTCAAGTCAGCATGGGTGAAATGTGTTTTGATACGTGTTAACGGTCTGGTCCGGTATCTCAAACAGGAACACAATTATGTTGCAAGTTTCAGCTAATATCTTACTCATTTCAGTCTTTCTTTTACCATACCTAGTTTAATCACCCAAGCAGGCAAACTCTCAGCGGTGGCCTGCTAGGGCGGTATATAAGCCTACCACATGTACATACCAAAACAATCGAATTGGGAGGAGCTCGAGTCTCCTAGCCCACAGCCTACATCTCAGCACTTCGTCTCTCGGCCAGCAGCTCTTTTCTATTGCCTTAGCTACGGTCGCTAGGTGCATTTTCGCAGTTTCAGCTAAGTCCCAGCACCAATCACAGTGCACTTCATCATCATTACATCATCAGGCCCAGCCCACCTAGCAACTGAAGATATTCCATCACACTCCCATGCTACATCAGTCAGTTAACCCATTCAGCCCTACGTTCCCAGGACTCCTCAGAACCTGTCTGAGGCCTCGCTCCCATTAGTTTAGCCACTGACGCTCCGACGCCCTCTGATCAGAAATGCATATACGATCAGGTCCGACCCACCTTCTTGCGACAATATTGCATTTGCGATCAGCTCCGGGCCATTTCTAGCCTTAGACCGCGGGTTTCATCTCAAATATAGTAGTTGGCCCAAGGATCTTCGCACATCGGACTTAACCGAGCTTCCCCGCCATCCTCCGATCAGCATTCCATATACAATCAGCTCCGCTCCACCTCGCTGTGATCAAAACACATTTGCGATCAAGTCCGACGGTCCCATGCTTGGAGCCCCTTTCAAATACAGCCTTTCATTCCCACACAACCCTAGTTCCTTTCCCAAGGCTCGATATTGGCTGCCCACACCGTCATTTGCTGATCCTGCGATTGTTGGCCGCACCTGCACACTACCCCAGTCCATTACCAACCCATTACCCATCTCTATTGCCAGTAGCTTCAAGTCACTAAACCGGCTCGCAGCAAACCCTCGCCAAAGTCGTCCCCGCATACACCCCACACAGCGGACCCCGGATTAGTGTTGGAGTAGCATGAGGCCAGGAGCTCCGCGGACGCATCACTGTGAGCATATCAAAAGCTGGCTTCATAAGCATTTTGAACAAAAGCTCGTGCCATCGGGCAATGCTGGTCCTCGATCGGTGGACTCTGGTGTTGTCATCAATTTCCGCTACCGTCGTGCCCTCGGAGGATGGTCTCTTGGTGTACAATTCCTCCTTGAACATAGTCAGCTGTTCCTTGGTAAGTTTTTTCACCTGTTCAAAGCAACGGTGGCAACTTGAGCCTTCGAGATCGGTTGGATCCTCGATAGACCAGGCTTTGACCCAATCCTCCAGATTGACAGGTGCTGTGTCATGCAAAATCTGCACGAGTGCACCGATAAAGGCAGCCACCTTCTCCTCCGCCTGTGAATCTGACTAAGCGACACACATCAAAAGGTATCATATGGAGAACTCGTCATGAA